TTATTTTAATAAGTTTTTAATACCCATACCAACTGTCCCTGCTATAAAAATAATTTTAAAGATACCTCTGTCAGATTTAAAGATAAACAGTAAATACAAGAATAAATGTAGTTCCTATTATTTTAATGTTAGGAGCATTAGCAACAAAAGGGACGAGCTAACGGTTCTTGTTAAAATGTCTGTGATATAATAGAAATTACTGATGCTTGATTAGACTTGTAGAAAAGTAAGAATAGGTGCTATTTCGAAATTTCAAATTATAAGTTATTTAACAATGACAGACTTTTTTTTTAAATAGTGGTTGAGCAGCTCTTCATACAATAAATAAAGAGCAGTCTGTTGAGATTAAAGACAAAAATTTGTAGTCAAGAGGTTAATTCTATATGGGTAACAATCAGGGGTTTTCAAGGGTGTAAAATATTTAACTGGCAACGTTTATTGGCAATTTGATATGATAGATACACGAAGTCAATGAGAAGTTTTATCATGAGATCAGGGTTGATAATAATAAAGATATTAATGGAATATTTATAGGAGACTATAATTCTAGACAGTGATTAGGATTTTATGAACTCAATTAGTGAGAGAGAGGTTCAGGATGGATTTCTAGACTAGATAGTCAGAGAAGGGTTTGCTGTTTTAGATTTAGTGTTAATACCAATGACGATATTGTTGCAGGAATTAAAGGGAGATTTGTGGAAGTTATATTGCATAATTAGGTTTGATATTTTGCTACATTTTGATATAAAAATAAATGAAATTTTAGTTCCTAATTTTCAGAAAGGCAATGTTGAGGCCAAGAAATAATATTTTTCATTAGTGAATTTGGATAAGGCAGCCAGGCAATAACACTATACATGCACCAGGGCAAGGAAATGTGCGCAAACGGTTAGCGACTTATCACTAGTATTAGCGATGTGAGCCCATAACTTTTTTTGATTATAGTCTCTAACACATACAAGTCATACAAATAAATGTAATCAAATACATCATCACTATTAATTACTGCTGGGGTTCCTTATGTATTTTAAACAGAAAATGAGATATTTCAACAAACGTTTTGTTCAGTTCTTTACAATGACTGACAGCAAAAACAATAAATTGCTCAATATGATGTAATAAAATGATCCCTCTGGTAGTGAACGGTATAAAAAAGTCGGTAATTCAAGGGCTAAAAGCACAGACGGCAGGATGAAGTCTTAAACAGAAATTTGTTTAAAAAATTGACTCATATAAACTACATAACACTTCGAAATGACAAATTGTTACGCAGCGTGAGGTCAAAAGTAGTTTCCTATGAACGAGCATTTCTCTATCAATAAAGTTTAATATTTTGTCGGAATAAGGCACTTTTTATAAACAACAACAAATAAACGGAGATTAGTTGTTTTCTAGAGCAGAAATGACATCGAGAAACATTTAGCAATAACAAGTATGTCAATCAGAATTTCTACCATACTTCGGGATTTTCGCTTACACTTACTAGAGCTCCTCTTCTCAAACGCTGGAAGCTCCTTGAAAGATTTATTTGAATTTAAATTGATTAATTATGTAATATATGAACCATAATTATGGAGGAGGTATAGAAGGACGAAGCCTGTTTGAGAACATCGCGCAAAACCACATAAGTACAGCCGTCCTCTGATTTCGAACTAACAGAGAAGAGAGAGAGCGCAGCTAGTCTACAAACTATACAAAAAACCAAAAATAACCTGACTTCATTGACGTGAATCATCATTGATTTCATAATAAAAACGGGATGTCTTTATCTTTGTGGCGTTACATCAATGTTCTGACGCAACTTTAGAAATAAGATAAACATTTTTAATTATATTCAAAAGAGTACTAAAACTAAGTTTTTATAACTGATAATAACAGACAATTACATAACGTCACTCATTAGCTATAGCGTGAACTAGAGTATTAGTTTAACCACCACAGCTTGTGAGAAAAAGAAAAACGTACTATTACTAATTAATGTTAAAATTTGGTATTCTTTAATTTAGGGGTAGTACTTTTAGCATTGGTATAACAATGTCAATTGTTTTATTCACTTTAGAGTCTGTTTGTACTGCTTTAATATTTTGAGGGAAATGAATTATAACTTCGACTGCAAATAGTCAAAATGGGCATCTCACATTAGTTGATACGACTTAACACTATTTAGTAAAAAACTAACTGATGTCGTTTTTCACATTGTTATGGAAATTCACTGATTTTCCAACAATAGATAAAAAGAGAAGTATTTCGAGACTGCCATTCACATTCTATTGTGACAGTATAATCCAAGTAAATCAATTCATTATCCTTGCAATTTTTTTTACCTTTGCTAAACAACTGGCTTTTAGCGATTTTTCCAAGTCATCTATTCGACTAGTCGTATATGAGACTTTGAGGTTATTCGTTATAATTTCATGCGAATACGTCAGAGCTCTTGTCAAACTTAATACACTTTAGTGGGTTGAAATGGAAGAAATCGACCAAAAGCTGATCTTTCGTATGAGATGAGTTAGAATTTTACACTTAGTGATATCTTCGTATACATTTCATTAAACGTCGTAAATGTTTTCCCTCTCTTCAAGTACCTAAGTATACGTTAGATTCGTTTCAGTTGGCGTCCATAATCGAGATTAGTTCTTTCCTTTAGTGTCCTCATTTGAATTCTTTTGAACTATTAACGGTATACAGTAATTTTTTTTTAGATTCCGATAAACATTTGTTAGTGGATAGTATTCAGGTGTAATGGCAAAACAACCAAGCTACCTACTTTTCGTTCCTTGATAATTGATAAAGAAAACCACATATACGACAGTGTAAGTCGTGTGCATCACTGACTGCTTATGTAGTTTTACAGTGCCAAAAATACAAAGAGAATATAGCTAAATATTACTTCGTGATTGTTTAATCACCGTCTGAAGTAATTAAACCAAGTTTACTATGATTCTCATATTTCACTCATCTGGTTCAATATTTTCATCCTAGTTTACCATTTTTCTTATCGCTTTAGACTGTTTTGAAAAAAAAGGTTTGTTTGTTTGAAGTTGAGCACAAAACTACACAATGGGCTATCTGTGCTCTGCCCACCACGGGTATCGAAACCCGGATTCTAGCGTTGTAAGTCCGCAGACATACCGCTGTGCTACTGGGGGGCTAACAGCATTGTTTTAAAAAAAATACTTTTGTACATCCGGTATTAAAAATAATTAAGTAAAAGGTGGGGAAAAGAGGTATAAAAAAATATAGAGCAATGGTGCCATTTTAACGTGTTAAGAGCTGCACTACTTAAAAATGAAGTTATAATAACCTTTACAGGGTCAGTTTTTTCTCTTTCCATTTCGAGATTCTGTACACCATCTGGTTCTTGTTCATCACTATGCGAATCTGTGAAATTTTCTGCAAAATTAACCTTTTCATATACTTCACCACTTTTCGCAAACCAATATCCATCATCACACTCTATACTGTTTACATAACCAGAAAAATCATTTAATTGCTCTTCAACATTCTTTTTAGAACTAAGGAGACCTGGATTCAAATTTTGCTCGGGAACGTTGTTAATCCCCCTACTATGCTTGAAGGAGTTTAAATACAGTTCACAATCACTTTCACCTTGGTCTTTCAGATTTTCACTGCTACTCTCATCAAATAAGATGTTACTCGAGAATTTCTGCAAGTGCTGGTCTTTTTCTACACGAGTATCTGCTTGATCTTTGACTAATGGTTTCTTATTTATTTTCACTTGGCCTTCAATCCCCTTGAAACTTCGTGCACTTGTTTCTTTGAGCTCCCTTATACAATCTTTTGTAATTTTATCACAATGTAATTGCTTATTTTTAAGTTCCCAAGTATCAGAATCATTGAACTGTTTGCTTTCTTTATCTGATAAATCCGAGTTATCTGGTTGTCTTGTCACTAGAATTGAACGTTCTTTCCCTAACACATTAACCTTATCTGGTTCTTGTCGATGAACCTGGCATGCGTCACGGACGGCTCGTGGAGGACTAGTTGTCTCCTTGTGGTTGGTCAATGATTCGTGACAGCCATCTTCTCTTGTCTTGTCCTTTCTCCCACCATCGCTCCTAAATAGAACAGGAATATTATAGTTAAACATATATGATTCACTCTCAATCATCAACCTAGAATTTGTTTTGTGTGCACCATCCAATTATATAATAATAATATAAAATAAATTACAAAATTCATGGTATTATTAAACCAATATATATATGTATGAAATATTCCCCTTGAAGCTACATTTCTTCTAAAGGTACCTTGAAATGTAAAATCGAGTGAAAGTATGATGATTAAAAAACAAATTCAAGACTATAAGTTTGCTGCTTCCATCTTACTGGCAGAATGACATATAGACACAGAGAAAGTGTTGAACCACTGATCAGGTAGCCAGTCAGCATCACCCTAGTATCCACCATTCATGCTAAGGGATTGACTGACAATCTTATAATGCACCCACAGTTTAAATGGTGTGGAATATTTTGTGGTATGGTATGGATTTCAACTCGGCTCATCTGTTCCAAAATCCAGAGCTCTATCCCAGTGGCAACACCCTTCCGACACGGTAAAGCAATAAGAGTATTTAAAACACTTTATTCCAAGATCTGAGAAAACGACGCGAGAATGAGTCAAGTTTCAGCATATTTCTTTCGAAGGATGTATCATCCAGTCTATTAACAACATGACACGAGCAATACTTGACTGCTTTATGGCTGAAACCTAATTCTGTGTGCTCAGAATGATTAAATTATGGAAATTATATAAATTATATAATTGTGTTTGTCTGTCCAGAACTTTTCTCGCAAATTTCTCAATCAAATGCTGCAAATCTCATATCATTAGAAAACCCTTTGTCTGAGGAGTCCGGATTGTATATTGGCTCATAAATTCTGAATCACCTTACCTGTTTTTCCTTAATCAAACTTTTCAATGCCATTGTCATCACGTGACGACTCACTTCGATTTCAATTTTAGTTTATTTATTTTCAAAGTATTTCATGCAAACAACATTAACCCACTTATAATTTCCTAAAATATAAACATTACACTAAATACAGTTTCTATGGGCTTTCTCGACTTATTTAGGCCTAAATTACGCTTACGCAGTTTGTTCAAAACCATATGATTATCACTTTGTGAACACACATTCAGACGTTTCTGCATATTCAGGTAAGTTTGCCTTCATTGTAACTTTACATTCACTTTACTTTGCAATAATTCAGCTTCAGTTCATTTCATAGACTGCTATAAACACCTTTTCGCTACTTTTTTTTTTACTATGGGTTTATTCTTCGTTTTTGTTAGTCTCTTTGTTTCAACTGGTAAAACCCATGTCATACACTGAACTCTCTAAACCGTTTCATACTCTGTACACAATTATAAATACCATTACTTTACCTTATTGTTTACATGTAGTTTTATTAAATATCGTTACGTACATGTAGTTTTATTTAATAACGTTACGTACATGTAGTTTTATTTAATAAAGTTACGTCTACGTGACCTTGTTTGCCTGACCCCGTAAATTTTTTCCAAATATACCAAGATTCATCGATTTAACACACAATGCCTGCAAGAAAGCGTAGCTTAAATGTCATGCGTCAAAATGATAGAATAAAGAAATTCAAGCGAAGGGCATGAAAACTACCGCAAATGTTTTGTGGGCCATGGCTAGTATTTCAATAAAAATTGTGAAATAAAATGTATTTTTTCTTGCTTTTATCCTAAGAAGCTTGAAATATACGAAAAGAAAATTTCTGGCTTCTGTGTCCGTTTTGTAGAAACGAACGCAATACTTGTGGTCATGTGATACGTTACAAGTCTTTACTTACAAAAATTGAAGATGGTATATTCGAGTGAAATATGTCAGTTTTAAGCTGTATGGGACAGTCAATTTAGTTATGGATTTCAAGTGTATGATATGTTTTATAGAGTGTGGAGAATGTTTCAAAACATTACGAGATATTTGAAATAATAATTAGACATTAGTGTATAAAGAAATCTCACATATTTCACATGTTTATGTAACTATCATAAATTATAATTGAACAGATCTTTCATTTTGAAAATTATTCTAAGCTGACTGAAACACCCTGACCATTTGTTAGGTGCAGTAGAAAGTATGCAATAATTGTACACTCACTATCACTCTGAACTAGGCAGTTTCTGCCATTTCAACTTTTTTGTTTATTGGGAAGGCTCTGTCCAAATCACCTATAAAATACAAAATTCAAGGTAGTTTATAGCAAAAGATTCCTTCAGAAAGACTACACAGGTGGGCCTGATATTAAAGCTACACAAGCTCGAAAAAATCAAAATGTTGTAACAAATCCTTAAATAAGTAGTCTAAACAATTTATTTTAACAAAGTAAATGACACTCTCGTCACATCATCAATACCTGGGACTTATGGTATTAATTCAATACTATATTAATACCATAAATCTACCAATTTAACTTCTGTAAGGACGTAGTATTTGTTTGTTGAATTTCGCGCGCAAAGCTAGTAGAGGGCTATCTGCGTTAGCCATCACCAATTTTGAAGGGATAGATTAAAGGGAAGGCATCTGGTCAACATCACTCACTATAACTTTTAGGCTACTCTTCATTAATGAATTATGGGTTTGCTTGGACATTATAACGCCCCCACGCCTGTAAGGAGGAGTAAGTTTGGTGATGGGATTCGTACCCACAACCTGCACATTGCAGTGCAAGGCCAGGAAGTAATGGGGAATTATTCGTGTATTCGAGTTTTATCAGCCTTTGAAGGTTACCTATATGACGAATTTTGACAAAAAGATTCTGAAATAAGTGTAGAGGAAAGATAATTGGAACTTATTCCCTTTCAAATCAATCATTCACGAAGTATTCATAGACATAAAAGTTACTGCGGGAGGGAACTCAACATATGGTTCTCCTCTTCGGACTTTGAACTATTTCGACTGACGACGTGCATGTATCGTTTGTTTCGAAATATATATATTATATTTACGACGCTATGTAGTTGTCGTGTGATACATTGTCCTTGCTCTGCAGCGTCATCTGTTGGAACTCCGTAGTAAAACTATTAACCTTACCACGACGATCTAAACATGACACCTACAAACCCTACGAGGTTTAAGTCCAGAGCCTTATAGTATATTGCATATATGTATAGTTTAGTCGTGTCTTCAGATTTTGAGTTCAAATGATTGTCAACAACAAATGAACAAGCAAAAGGTAAAAAAAAAGACTACATTCTGACTACACTAGATGGGTTTCGTCTTAGTGAAAATGTTCACAAGCTGGTTTATTTTGAAAACTGTATTTCTCTTGTAAGAATATTCAACGTAAAAGTTTCATTAATAAATAAACATAGATCAGCCGTTGGGATTACCATATTAACTTTTGTTGGTTTTGAATTTCGCGCAAAGCTACACAAGGGCTATCTACGTTAGCCATCCCTAATTTAACAGCTAGTCAACACCACTCATCGCCATCTCTTGGGCTACTCTTTTACCAACGAATAGTGGGATTGACCATTACTGTATAACGTCCCCACGTCTGAAAGGGATTCTAGCCCACAACCCGCAGATTGCGAGTTGAGCGCCTTAACTATCAGGCCCCATTAACTTTTAGGTCATCCTTTTTCTTTAGTTAGACATATTACAATGGCTTGGGATAAGCAGGAACTGAATGACAACTTCAATACCTGGAAGCTGGAGGGTGTTAATGTACTCTAAATGAAATCTGGGGCTATTGTTATTAAGCACAAAGCTACACCACGAATATCGAAACCCGGTTTCTAGCAGTATAAGTCCAAAGAATACCGCTATGCCACTGTGTCCACCACGAGGAATCAAACCCCGGATTTTAGTGTTCTAAGTCCTTAGACTTACCACTGTCCCATCGGGGGACGAAATCTGAGGATCTCCTGAATTTAAAATTTATCCACATGAAACTAATATATTTACCTCATAGTGTCTCATAAGTAACTGTTCAAGGAAATTCTGAAGATCAAAACAAAAAAAAAGAAAACATTTTATATAAAAGAGCAAACCTTTTCTAATTCTAAAAAAACAAACAAAAAAAAACACTTTTACTTTTTCTAAAAACTACTAAAAACGAAATTACGCTCGTTTCAGTTCTACATCTCGTAAATAGGAGTTACTGATTAACGCTGGTAAGTATTAATAAAATGGAAAAGTATTGTCGTGAATGTAGAATTTTATAAATTCGTCCATGATAAAACTTTTGAAAATAGATGAATTAGAAAAACAATTTTTCTCTACCATATGGTTTTAAGTTTGTGGTATACTTGCACTACTGTGTACTATTGACGCTACATCCCTGATATACTAGAATATAAAAAAAGAGCAAAAGTCCTCATACGTACAACTCGATCTGCAGGATTTTTAGCCGCGGCATAGTGGCTCACAGCATGGCTCCGTAACCTCTTGACCGATTTTAAATCTAATTACATTTTTGGACTCAGAAGATCAAACCCTTTCGATTGATGTATTTGATCACGCCCAACGTCTTATAGATTAATATACTCTAATCCTGCCTAAAAGAATTTCAATTTGAGGGAAGGCTGGTAGAGTTCCTGATGAGTAATAAAATCGAATAGAGTATACGCGCACCCCACACTTGGTATTGCTGGTGCACAAAAATACAGCTAATAAAAAGGAAAAAAAAAAGGTCTTATAGATTAATTTACTCTAATCCTGCCTAAAAGAATTTCAAGTGTCGCGGCTATTGAGGATTCCCTCTTGTTTTATGTTTGATTGGAGAATATTTTAAGTACGGTAGTACTTATTAGTATCACTTTACTTGTTTTTGTACTTTTTATTGCAGCATTTATTTTGTTTTGGATACTTCTTATAGCAATTCTTATAACCAACGATTCCTACCTTCCGCACTCCACTTGTTTACAAAATAATATATATTCGAACTAGTTAAACGTTATGTACAACAAATTCTTTACAATATAGAGATCATAGGCATATCATAAATACTATATATAGTTTTCTTTTTCTTGTCAAAAGGCCTATTCAGTTGCTTTATAATTTCAGTTGACAAGCTGAACT